ACATCATCTCCCCCTTTCATTTCCTCTCCCCAAACTTAAAAAGATTCATACATTATGATTAACTGAAGCTGGTACACGGTTCACCTTTTTCGGGTTTTATGTGCCGTACGTTTTCTGATTCAGGGTCTCACCCAGGATGTATGTGCTTGCTGTTTCTGGAGACTCCCGTGTGCTATGACAGCTCCTCAGACAGTTCATATGCTTTGACGATCGTGGCAGCCTTGGAGAGGCTCGTCCAGGCATTTTATACTACGTGCTGCCGTTTCGGTTTGTCTGATATTTCCCCCCAGGGTTAGACAGAACCGGTGTGTTTCCGGGACGTATCAAGGGCACGTGCTGTCAATACAAGCTGTTGACCTTCTCCGTGACCGTGCAGCTCTGGATATTCATCATCTCCCTTTTCCTCTCTGCTTTTCCACCGCATTCTGGAAGGAAATCACTCTGTGGAGACTGCCTTTGGGAAGTGGAGGTCCTTGCTCTTCCTTCTGACGGGCCACGCCGACGCTGGCTGTACAGAGTTACACAATGAGGCTTTGTCTCCTCCTTTCTCGTTTGTTCATAGCCTGAATGCTGCTTTAACTGATGGTCTAATAAACTTCATTATGAAGGATTTTGAACTTATACAGAAACAGATAAAGCAGTTTAATAAGCCCTCCTGTGCCAGCCCCGCAGCAAATCGGCTCTCCAAACGCTGTCATCTCATCTGTAAATATTCCTGTATGTATTTTGAAAAGACAAGGGCATTAAGAACATAACCATAACCAAATGACCAAAATTAACAATTGAGTCAGTGACAAGAACGACCACTCCCATCTCTTCTCAGAAACACCACATGTGAATGCCAGGCCCTAGGGTTGGTGCTCAGCACACAAATAAGGTAGACACATGCATGCAGACCACAGCATCATATCAAGAGTTAACAATGGCTATACTGGGAAATGATGCAGGAGTGGGGGTGAGGGTTCTCGGGTGGCCAGGGAAGTCACTCTATTAAGGGGAGTTTTTGAGAATCTGGGGGAAGAACATTTCACTACTGAAACCATTAGAACAAGACTTTGACCACTGTATATCAGCCAGGCAGCTGGTGAAGGCAGTCTAAACGCAACTTGGAGTTCAAAACCAGACAAGCATCTCTTAGAAAGGCGACTTTATTTCCCTACCTGCTCATCAGTCTAAGAGCTTGCCTTGCACTGTGCCTATGTGTCTCCCCACTAGGATTCTAGTCCTATGGAGGAGGAGCCTCGTCTTTCCTTTCTCTGCATCCCCCTCACCCTACCCCTTCCCTTCTTGCCAAAGGTTGGCAACCTTCTACCACTTTTGTGATTCCAGCCCTTTTGTTCTTGCCATTTGGAGGGCTTTTTGCTTTAGGAAGAAATCATACTTATTCAATATACTGCAAGGAGAAACACGGGCATGGCAGGAACAGAATTGCTTGTTCTGTCTTTCCAGTTTTGATTCTGAGACGGCTCAGATAAGTTGCCTCAACTGCCATGGAGCCTCCTCCACAGCGTTGAATTTAGGCTTCTGCCTCTGTCTCCTGAGTAGCTGGGATTTCCAGTCCCATCCCGTCACGCCCCATTGAGCTCCACTTTGTTTTATAGCTAGAACCACTGTGGCCCAGAGCCTGGAAGAACTGCAGCAGTCAGAGCTGAGCGTGTGGCGGAGGGTGGGTGGCGACAGAGAAGTAATCATTTAGCGCAACCGCCCTCTGGGATCTGTTTCTCTCGCGCGCGCACACTGCTGGCTCAAAGGGAGAAAAGGAAGCCGGGATGGCAGCCACACAGATCGATAATCTTCAGAGGAGGTGAGATCCTTCTATTAAGGTAGAAGGTGCTATGTATCATCCTATGGTGCCTGGGGAGATGCAAGGGAGTAGGAAGACGGGGAGGGGAACAGAGGGCTCACTTTTCTCCTTTTCAAATCACGTGACGAAAGCGGGGTTTTGATGGACCGGCCCCCTCCTTTGCTTCCCCCGTGGCCCCTCTTACAGATATGTATGAAGGTGGAGGCGGTGTTGGAATGGGCAGGATGTATTCTCAGCCAGCCATCACTTCTCATCCGCAGCGGGGATTCAATAGTGCCAGAGTTAAAATGCCACGCAAGCCCCTCACCAGTTGCCCCACCGGGTGCTCCGACCATCGGAGTTGGTCCCTTAAAGCTCAGGTCTAAGCTGCCTGCTGATTTTATTGTTATTAGTTTTCTATCTGGAAACATGGAACAGCGGGCCTACTTTAAAGGAAGATTTACACCGACCCGCATAGAATGTTGATTGGGTAGAACACATTGAAATCCAGGGCTATCCTTTTTTTCATCATTTTTAGCAGACAGCCAATTCTGCTGCCAAGTAAAATAAAAAAGAGAAGCAAACGAGAGAGAAAACAACGGGGTGAAAGGTCAGCTGAAATGACGCTCACAGACTGTAAACCCCAGGGCTGAGTGTGTGCCTGAGGGGCCAGGCATGCTTGTTAAACAGCGGGTTTCCTGAGCACCTCACCACGCTTGGTGCTGGCAGATCCCTGAGCTTGTGGAAATGTGTGTTTACTCATCCCCAAACACCCTGAGATAGTCAGGAAAATGACTTGCTATGTCCCAGAAACAGGATTTGTACACCAGACACTGGCCTTGATGCCAGGAGCAGACCCTGCAAGCATCTGAGGAGCCAGACGCCTAAAAGCTTTAAGCTTTTTATATTATCCTCCAAAGCCAGGAAAACACAATAAAAACACGTCAACTCATTCCAAGGTTCCTTTGCCAGTAAGTTAAAATAATAAAAAAATTAATAATAAAAAAATTAAAGGAAAAAATCCACCTGTTTAGGCAAAAGAGCAAAAATACTTTAACCTTGGCATGGTGTGTGTGTGTGTGTGTGTGTGTGTGTGTGTGTGTGTGTCCCTATTTAGAGAGAGAGAGGGTCTCATGTAGTCTAGGCTGGTCTCAAACTCAGGTCAATGATGACCTTGAATCCCCTCCTGCTCCTCTGCTCCCCTGCCCAAGTGCTGGGAATACAGTCTGAGCCACACACTACTTGCAGAAGTAAAAATTCTGAAGTGATGTGGTTGTTGGCCTCAGATCAAAGCTGGACTCACTCAAAGGACAGAATTATGGAAGACGGCTGTGGTCCTCCAGGTCAGCCATCAGTCTGGCCGTGTGGCAAAGGCACAGAAGAGACCTTGGCTATTGTCAGCAAATGTAAACCGAGGCACACAGGCAGCCCAGCTCAGGGCACAACGCCTGCCTGGTGTGTGTAAAACTGTGGTCGCAGCCTCAGAATGGAAAACCATCTTTCCTCAAAATCCCCAAAGAAGTCAGCTTCATGGATTCTCTCCCACATGGACCAGAGAAACTGGCCTGTATTCAAGGGCTAGGGTTCCAGGCACCATAACAGGACAAATCCAACTCAAAACAAACCTAACATCTCACAGATAGCTTCCTCACAAGCTTTCAGAACAGGCATGAAGATCAACCTTGGCTTTAAAAGGCTCTACAGGGACAGGAGAGGTGGCTCAGTGCTAAGAGCATCTGCTGCACAAGCCTGAGGACCTGAGTTTGCCTGGGTGGGGATACATCTGAAGTGCTGTGGGAGATACAGACAGGAGGGTCCTTGGGGCTTGCTGCCCAGCCTCACTCCAGCTTCCGTGAAGGAATTTGCCTCAAAGCAACAGTGTAGCGTAGAGTGAGAGAGCAGGAGACCTGGCACCCTCCTATGGCACGCACAGACACACGCAAAAGGGTCCAAGATTACCACAGAACCAAATGAAAGTCTGAGTTTGTTGTTTGTTTTACTTAGAGACTGGCCTGGCTGTTCGCCTGCTTGCCCGCTCTTCTCCCCTTCTTCTCTGCCTCCCTCCCTCCTTTCCTCTCTCTCTCCCTCTCCCTCTCCCTCTCCCCCCCCCCCCCCCCCCCCCCCCCCCCCCCCCCCCCCCCCCCCCCCCCCCTCGGCCCCCACAATCCCTTTTCCCGTTTTCCAACCCAACCCCCCCCCCCCCCCCCCCTCCCTCTCCCTCTCCCTCTCCCTCTCCCTCTCCCTCTCCCTCTCTCTCTCTCTCTCTCTCTCTCTCTCCCTTCTGGTATTGGAGATGAAATGCAGGGTCTCACACACACGCTAGATAAGCACTCCACCACTAAGTCACCCCCTGCCCCTTCTCTGTGGCTCTTCACTCCTCTCTTCACCAGATGTCTTCTGGAGTCCATCTTGGGTTTACTTATTAATCCTTCTAACACACACCCTGCAATCACATTGTAGGCAATTTCAACATTTGCAGAAATAAAACCAGACTCCACGGGCTTATTCACTTGGCCCAATTATAAGACAAAACTGGGTTGACCCTGGCCTGGGCTGGTCCTAAAGCCAATGCCAGTCCAATATCTGTGAAATAAGAACTACAAAATCAGCAAGGGAGTAATAAAGTGCCCCTCCCCCACAAGCCCCTTGTCTGTATGAACCTGCCACAGCATGGCTCTTAGAGACACCCATCTAGCCCCCATCTTTAGAGCAAAGAAGCAGTCAAGCATACTGATCCAACTGCTCAAGAGGAGAAGAAACGATCCGAGGAAAGCCGACTTAGCATGGAGCTACTCGATAGTAACCGTACACGCGGCAGAGAGTGTTAGTGCTGCTCACCGTCTTGGTCAACATGGGAGAAGCCAGGCATCAGCAGAGAGTGCCATGGAGCTGGGAAGGGGTGAGAAGAGCTTGAGGCTTCCGGGAGAGCTGAGCTTTGGGAGACACCGATGGCAAAGCAGAGGCAGTTATTGTGCCAAGCTCGAGGACTCGGGAGTCAGATTCCCTCTGTTTAGATCGTACCCAAGCCCTATCTATGACCTCTGTGACAAAACATTGAACCCTCTTGTGTTTAATGTCGGCTCTGTGGAGTGCTGATAAGCTCACATTTTCACTGTGCCCTTCTGAGAACAGACTAAGATCATCTGTGTAAAGCCGTAGCCTTTGCTTGCCTCATACTAAATGCTCAGTAAACGTTTGCTTAAACTATGAGGAAAATTTTATTGGAAAGTTACAGGGCAATCCCCATAATTGTCAGAGGGCAGGGTAACCCGGACAAGAAATGAAGCAGGAACCAAGGGCATCTGGGTGGCAGACACGGCAAAACTGTAAGTGCCGGCAGGTGGTGGTGCACGCCTTTAATCCCAGCAGTGGCAGAGGCAGGTGAATCTCTTTGAGTTGGAGGCCAGCCTGGTCTACAGCGCGAGTTCCAGGGCAGCTACACAGAGAAATCCTGTCTCAAAGAACAAAACAAAACAAATGAATCAAAAAGTGACTTTGAAAAACTGTGCGGCTAAGAGATACGGGTGAGCAAGACGCGGGTGTGTGGTCTAATCCCGAAGCCCTCTGAAGTGAGAGCTCTCATTCAACCTTATGGCAGAAGATGGATTAAAAAATAATAGAAAGTAAACCCAACAGGGCTTGGTGAATGAAGGCCTTAAGGTTTCGGGTCATCCCCAGGAAGAAAGCCGAAGAGCAGAAGGGTCTGAGGTGTGAACGTGGAGCGGGGAGGATTCTGAGCCGAGCGGGCTCAGGATCGCAGCAGCGGGCCTGGCGTGGGAGTTTGGAGCCAGGCGTCCAGGCCAGAGCCAGCTTTTGAACTCGGGATCTTCTCAGGCAGAGGTCTCATCCCCCTCAGGGTGAACGGAATTGTTTTCTAGAGCTGAGAAACAAGAAGAGATTAGAAGTGAACTTGATAAATCCCCAGCTGTTGCCCTCAGACTCCGTGAGTAATAGCTGCGCTCTGAAGGACTTTCAAATTTACGGCTGGAAAAAGCAGCCAGCTTTTGAAATACTGCTTTAACAGTGACCCCTAGTGTTCGGGAGAGGGAGCAGCACCCGAATCATCGCTGAGCTGACGCTGCCAGCCGGCCTTAATGCATTCTGCAGCCGTCCTGCCTTTGGGAGGCTCGCGCTTGAACAAGTCCAGGTCACCTCCCTTCCAGGAAGAAGTAATGGAGTAAAGCTCCGAGAAGGGCGGCCAGCATAAACACGAGGCGGAGACTGAAGAGGAGGAAGACAGGGAGAAATGACAGACTAGGAAGCTGATGGATAAAATACCAAAATAACAGCAAAGGCATCTCTGAGTGACAGCTCTTCTTCCCTGTCTGTTGTCGTGATAAAACACTGTAATAAAAAGGCAACTTAGGGGAAGAAAGCATTTATTTCCGCTTAGAGGTTACAGTTCATCCTTTAAGGGCAGTCAGAGCAAAACCCTTATAGAAATTTAATACAAAAGCCACAGCAGGTGCTGCTGACTGGCATCCTCACAGGCTCCTTATCTAACTGTCTGATTCTGCCTAGGAACACTGGCCTCGGGAATGGTGCTGCCCACAGTGGGCTGGCCCCTTCGCCAGTTCGTGGCTGAGACAACTCCCAGCCCGAGGCATGTCCACCACCTATCTGATCCAGGTGATTTCTCAGTTGTCTCCACAGAGGACTCTCAGCTGTGTTAAGTGGTCAGTTAAAGCCAACTAGAACACACCAATCTGATAGCCTGAGAGGTTCCTTCAACATTAACAAATCGTTACCTTTCTGAGCTCTTTTGCCATACCAGGCTAACTTACTACCTCTTTTTCCCAAAGGGAAGAACAACTATCATCTCTATTGCATCGATAAAGAGGCAATAAATTATCCAAGATGACAACAGCTGAGGCAAAACACAGCTGGGACCCAGGCTGCTAAGTCTGTGTTTCTAGCCTTAGAGCTGCAGCCTTTTAAAAATGGGTAAGCTGGGGCTGGGGAGATGGGTCAGCAGTTAGGAGCACTTGTTCCCATTGCAGAGGGCTAGGATTCAGCTCCCAGAATCCACACTGAAGTTCACAACTGTCTGTATGTAGTTCCAGGTCCAAGGGATCTAGTTCTCTTTTCTGGTTTCAGGCACCGCACCTAGTGCATATATATAGGTTCAGATAAACACATAAACACACAAACTTTTTTAAAAAGCAAATAAATAAATACGGTAAGTCAGAATCTAGAAAATGCCTAGCTCGTTAAGTTAGCAAAGGCTAAAAATATAAATTGTTTCAAGAGAAGCGGCCGTCCTGGCATCTGGGATGACTGCCCCACGTGCTCATTCACATGTGGTCACTACTTAGCAAACGGATGGGCCGTGCGGAGGAGGAGCCCTGGGCACGCACTGCACCTTTTAAAAATCTTTACTGGAGGCTGGGGGTGTGGTGCAGTCGCTGATGCCAGAGATGGCACTGCATGGGCTCCTCTGCCAGAACAGAAAGATAAGCAAATAAATGGCACTCGCAGCTGACAGTGTCTTCACGAAGGGCTAAAAGAAACAGTGTTTAAAAAAAAATGACAAGAAATGAAGGTACGAGGTGTTTGATGACTCAGAATGTCAGAAGTTTTTAGAAGGCGTTTACAGTAAAAATTGTGAGGATGGATTTTGCTTTTCTGGTTGTTTTTGGTAGCTTTCACTATCTGAAGAAGTAAATATCTACAAAAAATAAAAAACAACCCCAAAACCACAAAACAACTATGGCCTCCTCTCCAGGCACCCTCGAGCCCCATATTTTCATTAGCACCCCAAGCTTCACCGTCACCTCTTTAGAACTAGCACCTGCTTACTTATTCTGAACACGGCTCCCTTAGGCCAGTGATTCTCAACCTTCCTAATGCTGTGACCTCTAATTAATACAGTTCCTCACGTGTGGTGACCCAACCATAAAATTATTTTTGTTGCTACTTCATAACTGTATTTTTTCTACTGTTAGGAATCACAATGTAAATATCTGATATGCAGATGGTCTTAGGTGACCCCTGTGAAAGGGTCATCTGACTCCCAAAGGGGCTGTGATCCGTGGGCTGCAGGATATGGCCCAACTGTGACTCTGCAGGAGGAAACTTTGACAGGTTAATTCATTTGCCCGGTGTCAGACGGTGAAGAGAAAGCTTAAGTAAAGCCTTTTGAATGATTATGGTGTGGACAGTCATTATGAGTCTTTATAATACAGCGAGGTAGACAGGACAAACGGAATTATTTCAGTGTATGCGGGTGGCGGCTGGGTTTCTAGAGGCCAGGTCGCTGGGGCTGTTCACGCAGTGATGGGAGCTGGCAGACACTACTTGGCATTCATCTGTGTTGTGTACCAGCTGTTCAAATGTCAAGTGTTTCTGTAGGAGCCAGCATGTCCTACCTGCTGCGCAGCTTGGCAGCACCGGAGGTCCTTTTCCAGCGATGTTTGCAGACTCCAGCAGGTTCCCCTTGGGGACTGTAGTGGAGAAGGAGTGGGAGGAGAGTCAGGGTGGAAGGGGAGGGAGGGGGACAGGGTTTTCCTCTGTGTTTACCTTAGTTGGAGGATCTCCAGGTATCCGAGCAAACAAATAACCGGAGGTGGGTTGCAACACTGTTGAATCACAAGGAAGAGACACTCTGCAAGGGGCCGGTGGTTGTAATTATCACCAGCAAGTGTCTGGATGCTTGACTAGGTTGCTTTTCTCACTGCTGTGACCTATAGCCTAGAATGGACAAAAGCAGATGTCTTGGTTAATGTTCTGTTGTGGGGAAGACACACCATGACCAAGGCAAGTTTTATAAAAGAAAGCATTTCATTGAGGGCTTGCTCACAGAGTCAGAGCCTGAGTCTGTGAGTCGTCAGCAGCGTGGCAGGAGGCAAGGTAGCAAGGGGGGGGGCCCGGAACAGCAGTTGAGAGCTACATCCTGATCCTCAGACAGAAAGAGAGAGAGAAAGAGAGAAAAAGAGAAAGAAAGGGAGAGGGAGAGGAAGAGGGAGAGGGGAAGAGAGAGAGAGAGGGAGAGGGAGAGAGAGAGAGAGAGAGAGAGAGAGAGAGAGAGAGAGAGAGAGAGAGAGAGAGAGAGAGAGAGAGAGAGAGAGAACTGGACCTGGCATGGACTTTTAAAACCTCAAAGTCCAGTGCTACACTTCCTCCAACAAGGCCGCACCCCCACCAACAAGGCCACACCTACTTCAACAAGGCCACACCTCCTAATCCTTTCCAAAAATCCACTCCCTGGTGACTAAGCATTCAAATATATGAGCATATGGGAGCCATTCTCATTCAACCAGCCCAGCAAGAGATTATGCAATTACGACCGGTTATCGATTGACTTTGTGTGAGATAAACAATGAATGGCAACGGAGGTGGGGGAGTGTGAGCAGCAGGTGCCCTGCTTCACACTCACAGAGGCAAACGTCATCTTTGGATCCCAAAGGGCTCTGGCTCCCAGGTGCTGGGACAGACTGAGAAATCTTCCTCCATAAACACCGTGTGCTCGGTACTGTAAGCCCCAGAGCCTTTGACTTCCCCTCACCAGCTTCATGGGACCCCAGAGGAGTAAGGATGGCATCAGAGAGGGGGGTGTCTCACTATGTAGTTCTGGCTAGTTTAGAACTCACTACATAAACCAGGTTGGCCTCTTACTAAGAGATCATTTTGCTTCCTTCTCCTGAATGCTGATATTACCACATCTGGCCTGTGTATGTTTTGAATTTCCGTGATTAATTGTGTATTGCTGTGGAGTGCAGAATGACTACAGAAATAAACTGGATCTATTCTACTGCTATTTTACCACCTGCCCCTTAAAAATCAAACTTAAAAAGTAGATTGGTTAAAATGTGATCGTATCATTTCACTTTAAAAAAAAGCAAGGTTTGCACTTAGAGAAAGGACGCTGAGGATTTCCTTTACCCAGGCAATTCCTACAGAGCACTGATACGGTGCCTTTTTACATCTAGATCCAGCATTTCCAGAACGCACAGACACACTTTAAATCACGTTTCTACTCTTTCTCCTTTCGTCTGAAGCAGCTGACAGCAAGCAGGCCAGTCTCAGAAGCCTCTCCCACACATCCCACCCATCCACCCCTCTGCATCTCCCCAGGCTCTGGAGATCAGGCTGGCGGCAGGGCCACAACTGGACACAGTGCCCAGACTGGACAGGGCTGCTCTGCCCCGCGTTGGCTCATTCATTTCTCTCTCAGAACTCTTACCAGATTATCATTTAACAAAACCTGGTCACTGGATGTAACTGCTGTCCCTTCCAGATGGCAAAAGCCTGCTTCCTTCAGGCAGATGCCCCCCCCCTTCTTCTCACTCTTGTGATTAAGGACCTGTTCTGCCATGTTTTTATTATATTTACACTTAAAAAAATTATTTTGTGTGGTGAGCGGGTGATGTGTGCATGCTATGGTGTGTGTGTGTGTGTGTGTGTGTGTGTGTGTGTGTGTAGGTCAAAGGATAACTCTCAGGAGTTAGTTTTCCTCTTCCACTACATGGGACTCAGAAATTGAGTTCAGATTATCAGACCTAGCAGCAGATACCTTTACACACTAAGTCATCTCACCAACCCACCTCTTTGATATTGCTTTATTTTTTTAGAGAGGTTCTCACTATAGAGCTCAGGCTGCTCCAGGACCTTCCTGCCTCCTGCAGGAACTATAGGCACACACTGTCCTTGGTGTTTCTTTGTGCAATGGCTTCTGTGCCTTTTGCCCCCTGTATGTTTAGGGGGAAAGACAAAAGTTTCAGGCGCCTTAGTAGAGATTATATTGTTAACTGCTTATAACTGGGGAAAGTACTTAAGCCTGCTAAACATTCTGCAGAAGCCAACATCTTTAGGATTTATTTTTGCATTTTAAATGTTCACGTTACAACCAGAAGCCTTATTGCTGATATCCAGAGCAGAGATGTACATATCACCACTGACTTAGTCTCTACATAACTTAGCCATATGCCTCATGCGTGTGAGTCCAGGAATATGCACGTCTGGATGACTCCAACGGAAACCACTGTCTGCACTGGGCAGACACCTAGCCAACACTGCCCACATGCATCAGCCCTTCTTCCCAGGGAAGGAACTGCTGAGGGCACAAGGGTAGCAAGAATCTTGAGAAGATGAAGAAAATACTGATTCTTCTTGGTCCTCCTTATGCTTCTGAAACTCATATGGAAGTGGCCTTTGTACCCTCTGCCCCCCACCATCTTGTCAGAGTCTTATATATCACAGTGTAAGCCAGATGTAGGGATCCTTCTAGACTGGGCTGTCTGCTAAATTAACTTATGCTAAGCGGCTGTCTGTCCATGACTGTTGGCTTTATCATCCTTGTCTGTGTCCCCTTTCCTTTCCCAGACGTCCCATTTCATTGTGGGTGACAGTTCATTTCATTCTCAATGCCATTTTGTCTCCTTGCAATGTCTGAAAATTTTTCAATGAACAGGATGCTCCCTGACCTTTCTGAGACCGACAAAGATATTTGTGTGCCCGGAGCAAGTTCAATAATACAACCCAGCTGGGCTTCCCGTCCAGACTCTTCCAAGCTATACTTCAGAGGCTCAGTTATTAAAAGAGATCATCAATCTGTCACACCAACACTCAAATCCCCAAACTGAATTCCAGCTTATTACAGACACATACTATGGTCAAGGACAGTCAGATACATGAAGGCTCTTGAGGGATGTGGGCAAAGTCACCTAGGACTCAGGCACCGACAGACAGTTTTCCGAATGTTCGTCAGTGACTTTGAGTGCTTGCCTGCTTCCAAGGTCAGCTCAGGAACACACATTCAGAATAGCAGAGCAGAGTTCTCTGCTAACAACAAGAGATAGAGTCTTCGCTGAATAAGCTCGGAAGCTCTCTACACATGTACTAGAGTTACACGCTCTCCCCGCCTCTTTAGCTCAGGTGAAACATCAATTTCTCCCAACAAATATTGATTGAAGTCTGACTAGGCACCAGCAAGTCAACTGCCAAAGAAGTCAGGCTGAAAACGTTAAGGGTGGGCTTGTTTCTTCCAGCTAACGGGCTGGTTGAAGATCTAGAACAATCAATCAAAATAGGTCCAAAGGGTTGAGCTCAACGGTAGAGCTCTTGCCTAGTACGTGTGGGGCTATGGGTTCGATTCCCAGCACTGAAAATGAAGAGTGGGAGATGGGAGGATAAGAGTACTATAGAAGCACACAGAGGAACCCTGTATGTGATGTGAGGCTTCAGGTCACCAAGGAAGCAGACACCAAACTGAGACCAGATGGGTGAGGAAGGGTTAGTAGGGGATGAGGACCCAAATCCACTTGTGGGCTAAACCTTTGCCAAGTTATGGTATCAACCCCCACCCCATCCTAAGCTGTGGTGATGTATTCATATTTCACACTCTTCCAAACCTGAGACACGGTTTCTAGCTCTCTGTCTTCATTCCCAGACCCGGGCTTGTCAGATGGTGATTCCAGAAAGGAGAAAGCCAAACTCTTTGGCCGGCTGACAATTTGTTACCATCATACAATGATAATGATGAACATTGTTGCCGTTTCTAAAGCACTGGCCTGCGATTCACTCCATTCCTGCAGCTTATAAAGCTTTCTTGTTCTCTTAGCAGATAACAGATACAGAAATGGAAACACACAGAAGTTATCAAATTTGACCTCATCACCCAATTCACAAGAGGCCAATAAAGACTCAGTCTGAAACCTAAGAAGGACAGTTGTAAAATGCTTTAAAATTTATGTATCTGACACATAGTAGTTAATATATGGGTGTTGGTTAAAAAAGTAATCAAAAGTGTTACTGAAACAGACTGCCCATATAAAAACCAAGAGCCTTTCCTTCCCTCACAATGGCTCCTCTGTGTCCTGTGAAGTGGCAGAGATCTCTGGCTTCAGGGATGCTCCCCTCAGAGAAAGTAGAGCTCAAGGCCCATCTGGCTTCCTGCCTCCCACCCCATCAGAGTGGTTCTATTTTGTTCCAAGTGGCTCTCTAGCTGGAAGAGTCAGGGTGCAGGGGAGCAGCCCCTCCAGTGACTAGTGTCTTTATATTCCACAATACTCTCTAGGAATGATAGTGATGTGATGTGGGAAGTCCTTCTGTATATGGGTTGCTTTTATTGGTTGGTGAATAAAACTGTTTCGGCCAATGGCTTAGCAGAGTAAAGCCAAGCAGGATATTTGAACAAAGATATATAGAGAGAGTAGGCAGCATCAAGGAGACGCCATGTAGCTGCTGAAGGAGAAAGATGCCAGATGATTATCGTTAAGCCACAGCCTTTTGGTGATATATAGATTAATAGAAATGGGTTAATTTAAGGTGTAAGAGCTAGTTAGGAATATGCCTGAGCCATTGGCCAATCAGTGTTGTAATTAATATAGTTTCTGTGTGATTATCTGGGTCTCGGCGACAGGGAAATGAAAGCGTGGTCTCTGTTTACAGTGATGCTGCTGGGAAAGGCTAACGACAGGGCAGATGAGGTAGATCATCAGGAAATGGTGCCTTGCACTATGCCCAGTGACCTATGTCTTAGTTAGATTCCTATGGCTGTGAAAACACCAGGACCAAAGCAGCTTGCGGAGGAAAGGGTTTAATTGACTTATATTGAAGGAGCAGGAGCAGGGCAGGAGCTCGGGCAGGATCCCAGGCAGGAACCTGGAGACAGGAATGGAAGCAGAGACCATGGAGAAGTGCAGCTTACAGGTTTGCCTTCTGAGGCTTGCTCAACCCAGGACTACCTGCCCAAGGTTGGTATCACTCACACTAGGCTGGCCCCTGATTTATCAGTCATTAAGAAAATGCCAAACAGTCTTGTCTAAAGGTCAATCAGATGGAGGCATTCTTTCAAATGAGGTTCCCTCTTCCCAGCTATGTCTAGGTTTGTATCAAGTTGACAAAAAAAAAAAAAAAAAAAAAAAAAAACCAACCAGCATACTTGAGTTTGGTCCTTGGAACCCGTCTGGTGGAGGCAGAGAACCTGCTCCTGAAAGTTGTCTTAGTTAGGGTTTCCATTGCTGTGAAGAGACACCATGACCACAGCAACTCTTATAAGGAAAACGTTTAATGGGGACTGGTTTACTAA